GCGGGGGATATGGGGAATGGGAGTCTGTCAATGACAGTTCCTCTCTGCCATTCCTTCCTCCTCACACTTTTCCACTGCTCCAGTGTGGGTCCCCTCCATGGTCTGCAGCCCTTCAGGCTAAACCTGCTCGAGCATGGGTCCTCCGTGGGCATTAGTTCTTGTAATGAGAATCTGCTCGAGCATGGGCTCTCTGCAGGTGGCAGTTCCTTCAGGAAATATCCACCTTGCTCTGGCACAGGGTCCTCCGTGGGCTGCAGTGTAGGTATCTGCTCCAGTGTGGTCCTCTCCACAGGCTTCAGGGAAATACCTCCGTCACCATGGTCCTCTCCATGGGCTGCAGGGGAATCCCTGCTCCGGCACCTAGAGCACCTCCTCCCTTTCCTTCTCTGAGCCTGTTTCTTGCAGGACTGTTTCTCACAATTTTCTTCACTCCTCACTGCCGGGCAGTGTTTTTGCCATTTCTCAAATATATTTTCCCAGAGGAGCCACAAGCATCACTGCTGGGCCTGAGCTTGTCCTGCGGTGGGCCCATTGGAGCCGGCTGGAACTAGCTTTCCCCGGCACAGGGCAGCCTTGACCTTGCCTCACAGAGATCCCCCTGGACCTCCCAGCTGCCAGCCCCTGGCACGAACACCCCGTACATCTGCCCATGGTCACTGTGAGATGAAAGCATGACTTTATTCCACACTGCACTTTGCACAAAACCCGCCTTCCTCAGTGTTTTACCGAGCCAGAGTCCATCAGTAAAAGGAGATCTTGTAAAAAAATAAAAGCAGAGCAGGAGAGCAGTTGCACAGAAGAGGGGAAATCATGTTTTTGCATGAAGTGGGGCAGAGAGAGGACACATAAAGCTGGCGAGGGAAGTGGGCTCTCCACCCCACTTGTCCACCCCAAGGCCATTTCTGCGTTGCTGTTTATGTCAGTAACCACCTCTGGTGAATAACAGTGATCAACATATTCACACATAAGTTATAAACCAATGCAAGATAGTGATACAACCCATAATACTACAAAGTACACGGCCACAGCAGAAATAAATGTAAAACAGAATAGATATAAATATGTTGTTTGATTAAGTCATTTCAATCAGCAAACACCAAAGCATTTTTAGAAGGTTTGCAGTATTGTTATTCCCCTTTTGCAGCTAGCCCATGTACAAGGTCTAAATTACTCTGTTATTGACAATAATTTAACTCAAAGAATTGTCTAAATCAAATTATAATAATACTTTATTTAACTTATAATTTAATTCAAAGAATTTTAATGACGTTTTCTTAACTTAGATGGTGAAGATAGAACATCTGTATCATCTACACTGGCTGGAGAGCTGCATTAAATTACTTGATTTTATAATAAAATATCGACAATTTTAATGGGCACCAGCTTTTATTACAGTTCCTACCTCATGCAAACCCTGCACTTCACACAGGGCAGAGTCCTTAGCAGTGCCTTTTCCAGTTTGGGGTTGCTGAAAATCAGAATAAGGGAAGGAACAGCCGGAAAAGCATACTGAAATACTAAAATGAGAAATGTCACAGGATTTTCCTTCTTCGTGGCATAACTCAATGTCAAGACCAAACATGTAAAGTTAATGCTGTAAATGAAGAAGAAGGACAGAATAGATTTTGTGGCTTTGATATGGACATCCATGCTGAGGTTCTTCACTGAGTTTGTCTGCATCTTGCATTTGTGTCTCCAGAGAGAAAAGAGGAGGAGAAGGGCCGAATGATTACTGCTGTGAATGTGGCAGTAAATCCAAAGCTGCTGATAAAAAAAATAGGGAAAAAATGTTCATCCATTCTGACACTCAGTTTCCAGAAATTTCCTAGGGTGGTGGAATTGGGGTTGTTACAGCGTGCTTCATCGGTGATGTTGTAGACAAAGATGCAGATGACCAGGGATAAAAGCACTGAACCCAACAGCAGCCATGGCACGATCCTGTCAATTTTTACGTTCAGGTAGATGAAAAAGATGTGCCTGAAATTTGCAATTTTTGTACAATAAAAACCACAAAGACAGGCAGAAACCCACAAGTTGGAAGAATTTAAAACGTTTTGAATAACTGCAGGTAGTTGGGGTACAGGGTGAACGTAAAAGCACCAGGGATAAATTATTCAAAGAAAGGAATATATCCATGTGATGCATAAATATCAAAACCTGAAGCATCCCAGAAACAGCAAGACCTTCTCATTAGAGTTAAAGATTTTCTTTCTGACCCAAGCAATACAAAGCACAGAAACAACGACAGTGTTTATCCACGTGCCAGCAAATGCCTGAAGTGTGATGATGACCATAGCCATGGCATCGTATAAAGTGGCATTAAATTTATCTTGAGAGTAACAGGCTTCCATCCTCCAAGATGGGTAGCAGTGCTGTGCTGGAAAAGTAGGTTGTTGCACCAATGCTTAACGCAGGTTAGCAGCCGCTGTTCCCTGAGTGTCACGTACGGAAACAGGAGCTTTACAGAGCTGGTGGTGGTGGGGATTTTGGTGCTGCTCCTATTCAGAGCAGGGCAGGTGCAGGAATGTAAATGTGCTGGGTATTCCCTTGCCTGGTATCAGTGTCAGTCTTCAATATTTGAATTTCAGTTCAGAAGAGCTGTGTTGGTGACACAGACAATGTAGATGTTTTTCTGCAGTGGACAATGTTGTGATTTAGTGACTGCCCCATGTTTGATCACTCTCAGGATCCACGATCTGGGTTCTTCTGTCCCTTTGTTGCCTATGATGCTCACGCGGAGGGGGGTGCTCAGCAAAGCACAGTCAGGGGAGTCACTGTCCTCTTTCATCCGAGACTCCAGGAGCTGCAAAATTCAACCAAGATGCTGGAAACTGGAGTTCATTTTGATCCTCCACGGGGACTGAAATCCATGTGAGTTTTCCCAATGGTAATGCCTTAATTGTAAGTGAAGACCCACATGGTAGGGGGAGGGCATTGAAGGAAAAGCAGGACTTTCTTTTAAAGGTTTAAGTTGAAGCACATAGAGGAAAATGGCAAAAATAAGCATGAGTCCCTGTGCCAGGGTTCAAAACTCATCTGCTAGCAATGGGAAGAGTTTTAGGGATAGGACCATGCTGGGTTCCCACCACACTGAAATATCCTCAAGCTTCCAAATGACTTTAAGTCCTGAAAACTGTGTTTTTTTAACAGGCAAGGTGTGTTAAGCTCTGCAGGGCATGGGCTGCCAATAGACTTTGGGTTTGTACAGGACCTTGCAGATTGGACCTTGCACACTGGACCTTGCACATTGGGACCACAGTTACCAACTAGATCTTGGCTGATGCTGTGGCGTAAATTAAATCACAACAAATAGCTATATAGCTACAAGAAATACACCACCAGCATTTTCTCTCTTCAGAATGATGCACTTGTTCCTGGGGGATATAAATGCAAGCACTACTCTTTGAATATTATTATCACATGCTCCTGTTTGCATTTTTTTGCTAAGGACCTTGCTACAGCATTAACACATTGAAATGTTTTTACAGAAGGCCTGGAGTTCATCTCAACAACAAAACATGGTACCTACCACATGTTCCCATGAAATTCATTCAGATAGTCCAGTGGCTTTTAATAAAAGTTCTAGTGAGATCTTCACTACTCTCTATTCTTCATATTGCCTAGAAAATATCAATGTCATAGCTAGGTTTGGATGCGGTCATTCAAAAATATTATGGATCATTTAAAACCAGTCATGCTTGACTGAGATGACGTTAGCGATAGTCACTGCACTTATGGATGGATATTGTCTATGGATATTGTCTGGAAGCTCAAAAGAGAATTGCTTAAGGGAAACAGCCCACTTCTCTGGGGCTAAAAATGCAAAAATGCAAGAAGCCAGATGATCTCCGGGTCCTTTAGACCTGCAAAAAGTCAGGAGTGAAGTCGTCAAACTGTGATGGTGATCAGACTCCTCTCGTGTGTGTGTGAAGAGCAACCTTATGGGTGCTGGACACAACGCTGCTGGCCTGCAGCAGGTATAAGTAAGAAGCAGCATTTAATGAATCCCTCACTTCTCTGTATCTCATTTGCCATCACCTTCATGTCTAAAGAGGGTGGAAGTTTTACGGACTGGGTGGCAAGGAGGCAAATCTGTTCCTTTTGTTTGGTCTATGCCCTCAAGTCCAGGAGTCAGGGCTGGCTTGTGCCAGCTGGCCATTAGTGGATTTTCTTCCCCTGAAAGTTGTGTTTCAGGAGGCTGATTTGGCAGTTTCTCTCCCTGTAACCCCCATTCTGCTGCTCCTGTGACAGGTGGGCTGGGAACTGATGGTTGCTTTTTGGTGAATTCAGTTTGTTTCCTCTCTTGCAGCCCCGGTTTTGTGGGGTGGTTTTATGGGTTTATGGGTTTTATGGTTTTATGGGATGGTTTGCGATTGTCCTGGTTTCAGCAGGGATAGAGTTATATTATTATTATTATTATTATTATTATTATTATTATTATTATTGTTGTTGTTGTTGTTGTTGTTATTGTTA